GAGAATCTTGAATGAATTTCAACGATATTGTTTACATCCTGCTATAATTATGCGGAAATTCCATTCAACTAAAACATCTTAAGATCTAATAACTTATAAAAGGAGGAAGAATGTATTTTTATGAGTTGATAAATTATTCATAATTATGATGATTAATGGTGATATAATTTCATTTTAGGTTTTATCTAATCTAGTTGAAAGAAAAGATACTGTCATCATCTTCATAATCAAAATCTGATTCATTTGAATTTGTTTCTGAAAAACTTGTACTTGAATTCTAATTTATGACATATGGATCTGATGCTTCAGCCATACTTTCAATAGCTGATTCATCAACTCCTCTTCTCATTCTAAAGTTTCCTCCTTCTCCCCATTGATTTCCCCAACTATTTTATAACATCCAAAACTTAACGCCATCTTCTTCTCCCCAACCATAACATAAAACTGAATGATCAACTTTTTCCTATTTATAAATAATTATTTTTAATACCCATTCAGCATAATCATTAGTTTCTGCCTTTGAATGATAAATACCAGATTCATAATACATGAAATCATAAGATGGTTCAAAACTCAAAACAACTGGACCATTCTTCATTAATTCTGCCATTATAACTGATTCTGAGACTCTGCCATATGAACCTCCTAAATATTTATAGTTTCTATAAAAATTAAAAATGTATAATATACTTGGTAGAATAAACTTTTGATTATGATTTGGCTTTTTAGAAATTGCAGGATCCATCAAATCCTTAATATGGTTCTGCTGCTTCAGAAACAAGTACTTATTCTTCAGCAAATTTATTTACTAAATAAGGATAACCACCATCACATCCTTAATTATAATAATTGCAATTTAATGACCATTAAGGGGAGAGATCAACATTTTCACCTTGTATTTTTAATCTTGCTGATAACATAGACATTGTGGCTATAGCATAACATGATCCACATTATCCTTATTGTCTAGGTGGTGCAAGTTTTCTAATTTGATTAAATATTTATATACTCTTTCCAATTAAAAGATTTTGGTAAATCTGAATAATCACCTGTTTGAACAAACATTTTATTGGCTGTTTAATCCTATTATTTATATGATTTGTCTTTTTTGAATCCAAATTTCTTTCCCAAAGACTTAGCAACTTCAGCAAAACTTTTACCCTTCATATTATCATAAACTTTAGCTTTCCATCTTCCTTCCTTCTTATTTAATTTCTCAACAACTTCTTCATGATTCACTTCTGGTGTTTTTTCTTAAACTTATAAAAATGATAAAGATTTCAAATCATCATCATCCATATATTCAGGTTATACTATACTAACTGTTTTGATAGATTCAGATGAATCTACTTTTTCAGTCTTTTCAGCTCTATAACATCCTCTTTCTTATGTGTCTAAATTTGTATACCATCCTACAAGAGTTTAATCACAATATGACACTCCTTCTCTACCTTTTGGCTCATATTTTGAGAATGCAAAATATTTCACATTACCTAATTTGATTTCAAAACCTTCATCATAAACCATAGTCCATTCACCTGATTTTGAACTTGATTTAACTTTATAATCATCTCCTAATGTAACTTCAAAATCTTATGATGGTTAAAAGTTGCTAGAATAAGCCATATATGATGTCTTGGCTCTGTCAGGAATTTCATGTCCACATGGTAACAATCCAACACCCTTCTAAGTTGGTTTTTCTAAATATAGTCTCCACTTTCCTGCAACCTAGTGTTTTAAACAATGGACAGGTAAATCACAGACTACAAATCCAATCATACATAATAGGATAACGAATCTCATTTTAAGAAAATATATATTAACAAAAACGGAATAAATTATTAAAGAAGCCTATGTTAATATAATTACAATAAATTAATTTTACTATTAAACAAATTGAGAAAACTCAATATATATGAATAACTATGTAATTATTGGAACTATAAAGAAAGTAATTCAATATCTATTAGACATGGTTATTTTGCTTATAAAAAAGATGAATTTAAAATTATGATAAAGGATATCAAGATTTTTAAGTTTCAATAATTCAAAGAAATTGTTACTGATATCTTAATAACTAATTCCAAAATTTATATAGAAAGAATCAAAATATTAATTTAAATTTGCATCATATGTCTATTGATGATTATCATAATTATGATTTAAGTTTATAGCAAATCATTATTTTAGAGATTAATATAATTAATCAATTTTAGAAGGAAAGCATTCAATTAAACAGATAGTTTAATATTTTCCTGAATTGACCATTTTAGTTAGTAGATGGATTACTATAGATAATTATTTAAACTTGAGTTAATATTTTAATTTATAAGAAGTTCATAGAACTAAAATTATTGGAATTTCTTTTGTTAAAGATGTTTAATATAATATTTATGTGAGTATTTTAAATTTAATATTCAAACATCACATCAACTAAACCTAGTATACAAATGATTCCATTATAAGTCAAATAAATCATTTATATCTTAGAACTTCAATCATCGTTAATCAGCTTCTGTTTTGTATAGATAATATGAATCCAGAAAACAATCTCCTGTAACACATGTTGTTGTTACAAATAATCCAAGAAGAAGTCATTAATTTGATGGTAGATCCAATTCACCATCTAAAATTCTAACTACATCATATGTCTATCCTAAAATTATACAATCCACAGAATTGAAAACTAGAATACCTACTTAAGTATATATCAAAATTTTAATCTAGGGTTAAAGTATCCCTATTCAAGAAGCACTTAAAATTTATTCATCTAAACCTAATACTGATTCATAAAATAATTCAAATAAGGTTTCTTTTTACAATCAAGAGAAATTTAATGAAAGATCAAACTACACTAAGACTACTACTGGGGAAAGTTAAGATGAAGAAAAATCTTCTAAGCAAAGTATTCTTATTTCTCTTATTAGAACCATCAATAATTTATTAAAAACAACTTCTAGACAAAGATTTATAAATATTGCAATTATAGAAAGAAATCAAATAAATTAAAGAATCAAATGTAATCTATTTAATTAAGTATTTTAGAAAAAATATCAAAACGTAGAAAAGGAATATGATAAACTTGTACAAGAAAATAATAAATTGAAATCACAAATCTAATTATAATAAGTTCAAATTACATAACTTACCCATTAATAATCTTTGATCTCTCCTGGAAGACCATCAGAGTATGTAAGTGCATTAAGCGAATAGGATAAACTAAAAATAAAGACATTACTAGAATGTGAATGAATTTATTATTATAATAATATATTCACTAATTTAGGAATATAAATACATATTCAAATTTTATCATTCAAGAGCCAACTTTTAATATTTAATATTATTATTAGACTTTCTTCAGATGAATATTTTTATTTTTTCAATTTTAGAGAGTAATCTTTCAATTTTAAACGTGTATTTAAAATTAAGGGATACATATTCTCTTTATAATTTACATTAATATTACAACCTTTGAATTAGATTTTATTTAATAAAATTATTACTTTTTGAGTAATTCATCCCTCTCTTAATCATACAAATTGAAATTTCTATTTCTATTCCTATTCCAAATTTATTTTGTTAAAGAACAAAGTCACTAAATTATTTCATCGAACAAAAAATATCTTAATTATCACTATGAATTTAAATTATAATTATTTTGATTATAGCCATTCAGAATTTATATGGGTTTACAAAATTTAATTTAAAATGGCAGTCTCTTTTTCAATTTTTTACTATAATCAATTATATTAATGCTATGGATTCTAGATTGATTCAAAAGATTTGTCATATTAAAATAACTCATCCATATGTTTCTATGGGTATTCTGAATGCAACTAATTACCTTCCCTTTAAACAGTATTGTAATTAAAAATTTAGTTACAACTCTCATTTTTAGATATATATTTAACTTAACTATTTATTCTTTTTTAATTATTTGAAATTTTCATTTTCAAATCATTAATGAATAAATTACTTCAAAAAATAAATTGTAGTTAAACTAAATTAATGATAACAATATATCAGCACCCAAAATCTGATGGCAATTTATAATGTCCTGGTCCTGGTGATCCTTCTCTATGTTCTGATAGTATGCGTTAGGCTCTTGGAAATTTGTTACATTTGCTTGCACCAAATTTGGAACAAAAGTAAGTACCCAAAGGATCCATGTTACCTGTCTCTTTGTATGTGCCTGGCCCTGGAGTACTATCCCTTAGTTTTCTGTCCGAATGGGCTTTGGGAGGTGAGAGTATCACTGCTCCTGAACTTTTAATTTGATAGCGTCATATATAATTACTCTCGATATTAACTTAAGGCATACTTGCCTCGACTGTTTATACTGCTTGGTAAATCATATTCGCCTCTAGAATAGGTTCATAGGAATACGGTCCAGGTTTTCTATCTTTGTTTTTTCTGCTTTTCAAACGTTGTCTCATACTATAACGAACTGCCGACTAGGTTTCTTAGAAATTGTATGATCCTGGTCCAGGTGTTTTTTAGACTAAACCTAAGAAGATGCTCTCGAATTTGTTTGCACGCTTGAAAATTGGAACATTAAAGTTACATCTCTACCCAATCCCATGGTCCATCCATGTTCTCTGGCTGTTTGAATTTAATAAGAATTGGGAGCAGGTGAAATAGATTCTTAGGTTATGTTCATCTTCTTTCCATAACCTATTCCAGCTGCTCTCTTACTCAATGTAGTTGGCAATTAATATATCGGAGGGCAACTAAGTTTAAGTTATGTATGTAAAAATACATATTATCTTTAGGATCAACCCATCGTTTTGCCTTTGAGAAAGTATACATTTATTTAGTTTTGCTTGTGTTAAGTGGAGATCGATTAACAGCAGTAAAGTCCATTTTCTAATAAATTTAATATTGATATTATTGGTCAATTATATGATGTTTTGTTGAATTTTTCTTACAATTTAAGTAACTTTCATAGAATTGGAAAACAAAAAAATTTCCTTATATTTTGATTTAATTATTTAATAATGAATATTGGACCTCGCAGAAATATCAAAGAAATTCATCCAATTCACTAAAACTTCATTGAACCTCATAATTACTAATCTATATTCAAAAGTCCTATGAGTACTCTTTAACGATAGCAAAGACCTTCCAAATTACCTTCATTCAAAGTTTCTAGTGGATGTTAGGCTTCAGTTCTGTATCGCCATCTATATCTCCTAAATGGAGAACTAGAAATATGAGTCGTACAGAATAAAGAATGTTAGTAAAGTATTAAATACAATTTATAAGTACTCCTCAAGTACCTTAAAGCCCAAAATATGTGATTTGGATGTCAATCTTTAATGACCATTTATTAGTGAGTTTATGTAATTTAAGTAGAAAAAAACCTTAAAGATATAGAACAATGAAATTGGAGTTAAAAAATAACTTATTTAAACACCTGAAAAAATGTTGCATTAATAATCCTTAATTAGAGAAGATATAAACAAAGGTAGTTTTAAATTCTTATTTGTTCTTGGAAAAGGAGGATTTGGAAAAGTTTGGAGAGTGGAACTCTGTAAAACTAGAAAGTAATATGCTATGAAAGAGATGAGTAAAGCAAAGTATTTTTATTATGTTTATTGATAGAATCTTATCAAAAAATCTGTCCATTCTGTAATTAATGAAAGGATTCTGCTTAGTAAACTTAGACATTCTTTTATTGCCAACATTCACTATGCATTTTAAGATCAAGTTAACCTTCATTTAGTGATGGATTTATTAACAAGAGGTGATTTAAGATATCATATAGGAATGAATCGTCGTTTTACATAATAGTAAACAAGTAACAAGATTAAATATTTATAGAATTTGTCATGGCTTGTTTATTATTGAGTTTAGAGTACTTACAAAATAATGAAATCATACATAGAGATATACAACCTAAGAATGTAGTATTCGACAAGATGGGATATCCAAGATTAACAGATTTTAGGATTGCAAGAATATTAAAACCAGAGAATAGTTAAGAAACAAATGGAACTCCAGGATATATGGGTTAGTAATTATTTTAACTTTGATAGCCCCAGAAGTAATGTGTAGACAGAATCATGGAATAGGAGTTGATCATTTTGTTTTAGGAGTTATAATACACGAATTTATGCTTGGAAGAAGACCCTATATTGGTAGATCTCGTTAGGAGATCAAAAAGAGATGATGTTAACTAAGTAAATTACTATCAAAAGATAAGATGGTTGGAGTAGTGAAAGTGCAGATATTTGTAATCAAGTAAATAGAATTAGTTAAAAATAGTTATTATAAAGAAAATAATAATATATAGATTAGGATTTTATGGAGTTCAATCTATTAAGAAGCATTCTTGGTTTTAAAATATTAATTGTTAAAGCCTAATTGATAAGACTAATACCTTCACCTTTTAATGAATTAGCCTATTCTGAAAATCAAGATTTTAAGAGATAGATTTCATCAGATCATGATTCTTAGGATTCTTTGATTTAAGAAAATGCAAATGCTTTGAGAAGGGTTTCTATTCAAGATATCTTCAAAGATTATGAATACAATGATCATGGAATGACTGGCAGTACTTATTCCACTCAAATTTTATGATAATTTTATTTATATTAATTAGAATATCTATATATATCTTATGAATCTTTAAGAAGAGTATTTGATTAGATATGAATCTACTTTTAGAATATATAAATATATTATGGATGATATTAAATATATAGGCTCATAATAAAATGGAATAGATGAAATGATTTGAAAATTTATTTAAAATTTAATGTTTGAGAAAGAAATCGTGATAGATGGTAAGGGCCATTTGTTGGGTAGATTGGCATCTTATATTGCCAAAGAGTTGTAAAGAGGCTAAAGAATAGTTGTAGTCAGAAGTGAGTTGATATAACAATCAGGTATGATGTTGTTACTAAAACAGGTTCCCTCTTCAGAAATAGAGTGATTTTTGAAGAATATCTCAATAAGAGAATGGCCTTCAATCCAAGAAGAGGATATAAACATTACAGAACTCCATCACGATGTTTTTGGAAAGTAGTCAGAGGAATGCTTCAATATAAATCAAAAAGAGGAGCAGCTGCTTTAGAAAGATTAAAGATCTTTGAAGGAGTCCCACCTCCATATGATACAAGAAAGAGATAAGTTGTACCAGATGCTCTTAAATTGATCAGATTAAAGAATCACAGACCCTTCTGCTCTTTAGGTGATTTATGTGCCTCAGTTGGATGGAATTCATAAGCTGTTGTTAACAGACTCGAAGAGAAGAGAAAGCAAAGGTATCGTGCATTTTTAACACTTCTTTTAGAGGTGCTGCCTATTATAAGAGAAAGATAGCCAGAGAAAATCTCAGAAGAAAAGCCATTGGAGCTAAAGAACTTGCTACAATCAACTCAGAGTTAGAGAAGTTAGGCTATTGAAATAATATAATAAAATCATGTACATTTAATCTTTATAATGTAAAAAATCGATTATGGTGTTGAAGTTCATATAGATGATACTCTATATGCTGGGAGATGTTTATTATAAATTCTTAAGAGTCCACTCATATCTTATAAATACTAATAAGATTAAGCTAAATTTCTTTTAGGAATAGATCAATAAGGATGGCCATAAACATAATTATTACATGGTACTAATTGTCCTTGTTTCAATTAAGATTATTAAAATAAAGATATGAAGTTAAGCAAAATTAGATTAGCTACAGTAGCTATGTTATGTGATAAAAATGATAATTTTTTAATAACAAGAAGACATTCTCAAATGAAAACATTTCCTAAAACTTGGGTATTTCCAGGTGGAATGGTAGAAAGATTATAAGATTTAGAATCTGAATGTTTAAGAGAAGTTTAAGAAGAAACTGGAATCAATGTATTACCAATTTTAAATAAAATGGAACTTAAAGTTTTATATGAATCAGTGTATCCAACTTAATTATAAGTTGGTTAGTTTCCATAAAAATAAACACTCTGTATATTTTATGAAGTTAAATTAAATGAATCATGCAATAACATTAAAGTAAAAATTTAAGAGAGTGAAGTTGATGATTTTAAATGGATTCCAAAAAATTAATTATTAGATATAATGAATGTATCTACAAATGATTAATAATATAAAGAAATGAGTGGGATTTATCCTAATTAATATGGATCAGGAATTGGAGAAGGACATATTAAGGCATTTATGAATAGTTATAAGAATTGATATTAATACCTTGATCTTATTGGAAATATATTCATTATAATGTGATTTATTAAAATGAATTTCTTTAAAAAAATTTAAATTAAATCTTTTTTTAAAATGGGTAACAAGTCAACCACTAATAAATAACCTGAAAAAAATAATGAAAAAGTGAATAGTAATAATGATTTGAAAAAATCAGATGAAAAATCATATAAATTAAAAAAAATAGACGAAGATAAATGTGTTGTTAGGATGTAAACAGGATAAAATGGAATGGGATTTGAAGACTTTGTTTAAGAACAAGAAAATTATTAACAATTTTCTAATATTATAGCTAATGCTGTCAAAGTTAAGAATGAATGATATATATATATATATTTAAATGATTAACTGTAAAAAAATACTATAAATCAAAGGAAAGTAATCTATTATTAATTAAGTAACTTTTAAGCATATCTAACTAAGCCTCTTTTTTAATGTTCAACACTTAAAGCAATCCCATCCCTTTCATGAGTTAATCTTATTTATTCTAAATTACTAGCAAATTTTCTACTCCTTAATGTTTCTGTAAAAGATGTAGGAGTTTAAAACTTCATCTCTAAACGTAATTTGATCATTTCCTCTAAAGGAAGTTTCTTTTAAAAGTCATTTAATGTAATTGTAGATTATTTATTTGATAAAGGATGTAATTTTAAGGATTATAATTTTATTAAAGTTGCTGTTTGTGTTTATTTTAGTTGTTGTATTTTAGGTATAGAATTTGTAGGTTTCATACTTTCATATTCATCAGCTACAGAGATTGGTATTGGAATTTCAAAAGCAAAATTCTTACCTTTAAGAAATTATTGTAACATTTCATCTAATGATATATCAATATCAATAACTCTTTGGTTTGGTATGCATTCTAAATTATGTGATATNAAACTTGGGTATTTCCAGGTGGAATGGTAGAAAGATTATAAGATTTAGAATCTGAATGTTTAAGAGAAGTTTAAGAAGAAACTGGAATCAATGTATTACCAATTTTAAATAAAATGGAACTTAAAGTTTTATATGAATCAGTGTATCCAACTTAATTATAAGTTGGTTAGTTTCCATAAAAATAAACACTCTGTATATTTTATGAAGTTAAATTAAATGAATCATGCAATAACATTAAAGTAAAAATTTAAGAGAGTGAAGTTGATGATTTTAAATGGATTCCAAAAAATTAATTATTAGATATAATGAATGTATCTACAAATGATTAATAATATAAAGAAATGAGTGGGATTTATCCTAATTAATATGGATCAGGAATTGGAGAAGGACATATTAAGGCATTTATGAATAGTTATAAGAATTGATATTAATACCTTGATCTTATTGGAAATATATTCATTATAATGTGATTTATTAAAATGAATTTCTTTAAAAAAATTTAAATTAAATCTTTTTTTAAAATGGGTAACAAGTCAACCACTAATAAATAACCTGAAAAAAATAATGAAAAAGTGAATAGTAATAATGATTTGAAAAAATCAGATGAAAAATCATATAAATTAAAAAAAATAGACGAAGATAAATGTGTTGTTAGGATGTAAACAGGATAAAATGGAATGGGATTTGAAGACTTTGTTTAAGAACAAGAAAATTATTAACAATTTTCTAATATTATAGCTAATGCTGTCAAAGTTAAGAATGAATGATATATATATATATATTTAAATGATTAACTGTAAAAAAATACTATAAATCAAAGGAAAGTAATCTATTATTAATTAAGTAACTTTTAAGCATATCTAACTAAGCCTCTTTTTTAATGTTCAACACTTAAAGCAATCCCATCCCTTTCATGAGTTAATCTTATTTATTCTAAATTACTAGCAAATTTTCTACTCCTTAATGTTTCTGTAAAAGATGTAGGAGTTTAAAACTTCATCTCTAAACGTAATTTGATCATTTCCTCTAAAGGAAGTTTCTTTTAAAAGTCATTTAATGTAATTGTAGATTATTTATTTGATAAAGGATGTAATTTTAAGGATTATAATTTTATTAAAGTTGCTGTTTGTGTTTATTTTAGTTGTTGTATTTTAGGTATAGAATTTGTAGGTTTCATACTTTCATATTCATCAGCTACAGAGATTGGTATTGGAATTTCAAAAGCAAAATTCTTACCTTTAAGAAATTATTGTAACATTTCATCTAATGATATATCAATATCAATAACTCTTTGGTTTGGTATGCATTCTAAATTATGTGATATCATATATTAATTTTTCACTTATCTTCTTTAATAATAAAGAGAATTCTAACATTAAATCAATTTTATTGGGAAATTTACAGCTTTAGAAAATATATGTAATCCCAAACTTAACTCTTCTTATGGTAACATCTTCATTATTTACTACATTCCTTTTGATGAAACCATTTTCATTGCAGATTTATCTTTTTCTATTGTTCCTTTCATACTTTTTTCATGTAAAGACTTAGCTGTTTTTAATTCATAATTCAGAAAACACAACTTGCCAAGTTCTTCATAACAATTTATTTCTTAATCAATATCTTTTAAATGCCATGCATATTCCAATGACTGCATATAAATAATTAAGTAATACTTTCTTAATGAATATTTTGCCCAAATCATATTTCTTTACATATTTACACAAAATGCCTATCTAAAGAAATGTCCATTGGATAACATTAAATTATCTTGTGAATTCACTTAGAAATTTACAATGTTATAAAAAGAGAAGAGCCTTGGTCCATTCTTAAAATGAGATAAATGTTAATGCACTCAGACGCATAAATGTTATAAGTAAAGTAATGTTATCTTATTCAACTGCAATTACCATCATATTTAGCAAACCTTATCAAACATGTTAGTTACTTTCTATAGCTCCAATTTAATCATTGCATTGAATACTTTCAGCAAACTGTTATTCAAATTAATTTAACATCACTAATGATGACCTAATTGTTAAAGGTGTTTGTATTGTCTTCCTAGAATATATGTATGAATGCTTTGGACTGATAGAATTCTTACGAAGTCTAGGTATTGATCTTAATGTAGTTGAACCAGATTCTTTAGGAGAAAAGAATTAATTAATCTCATTGAAAGGCAATGTTTATTGAAATATTTTTATTCTAGGTTACTCATCTTATTTTCTATTTGTTGATTATTAACTATCAAATAATTCTGATAATGTGCTTGTCAAATTTTAAATTTAAAAAGAAAGTACTCTTCTTTTTTTCTTTTGGTTCATTATAATTTTATAATTAAAAAAGCATTTAAAGAGATGAAATTACATTAATTAAAATAAGTTAAGACCTGTTTAACTTTCCCTTTCCCCTTTTGTTTAATCAAAAACAACAATGTCCAATCAAAATAAATAGTTTGCTTTATTATAATAATCTCAATAATCCTTGACTGATAAATAGATAGCAGAATTACCTATTCTCTCCTTCCTAAAAAATAGATAACCTATCAAAGTCAAAGCTCCATTGACAGTAGAAGTAAATCTATTATTTTTAAATATTTTATTAGAATAACGACTTTGAAATAGAGATTATCAACACTAAAGTTGTCCAGAATAGTTTTGTAGTCTATGAAATTAGAATTAAGAAAGGAAATCTTTTCTGGATATTTTAAACTAGATACAGTTTATTAGAGAGTTTGAGTTCAAAATTATCAAAGAATCTCAAATCAATTTTACCAAAATTTCCAGAAAAAAGATTATTTGGAAATCTTGACAATGATTTCATAACAAAAAGAGAAAAATAACTTGATTCCTATTTGAAAGTATATTTATTCATTTTGATTTATTATAGGAATTATTTAAATTGGGAAGGAGTGAAAATACAGTACGAGAGTTCGTACGTCAATCATAGAAAGCAGCATTTGTGATCAATGACCCTTCTGCTGTTAAACTATTCAATCTTGATGCATGAAAAATTATAAAATAAAAATAGCACAATTACCTTCTAATATTTTATTTAAGCTTTTTATATAAGTTAAATGATATCTCATACATGACTAAGATAAGAATTTTAACTCAATGTTAAATTCCATCTATTACACTATAATTTAAATTGTGTATCTTATGTACATTATAAAAATCTCATTATAAAACTAAATTTATTCATAATAAAACTAAACTTCATTGTTAGTACACTATTATATATTCATTTAATTAATTAACATATGTGTCATTCTATTATCACTATTATATAAATAATGTCTATTTATTAAATACTACATCATTCCCATGTTTGCATTCTTAGAAAATCTATATCCAATCTTTATTACTTGATTCTTAAATGTATTTATAATACTTATCTAAAATAACATTATTTATTCTTTTTGTCTCTAATCTTTAGATTCAATATTATTAATAATAGCATATAATATATGCTTATGAATTTTTAATCTAAGAAGAATTTAAATTGAAAATAATATAATGTATTTATATATTGTATTGTACAATATTGGAATCATTATGCTTTTGTGATTTCTGTCTTGAGGTTAGCAAATGAATCAACTGGTACGTACTAAGCAAGAGTATAGTACTTTCCTTTTCCATCATCTTCTTCCTTCTTCTTTCTTTAAAGTCTGCAAACAATAATTTTAATTACACTACCTAACTCTAATTCTTCTTGGTAAATTTCTAATTCCTCTAGCCCATATTGCTTCATTCAATTATGGATCAACTCTGACATCCTCTGTCAACATATTCTTTTGAGCTATTTAATTAATCATATGCAATACCAAATCTGACTATGTGACTAACAGCACGTGGAGCCTTTCTCTTGAATGTTTCTTTATGAACAGCTTTGTGAATATTAATAGTATAATCTCTGCTCACTTCACCTAATGGATTTGGCTTTCCTTTTTCCTTTTTGCCCATAAATTAAAAAAAAATCTTTAAATTTTTTAAAATAAAGCTATGCTATACATACAATACAAACAATACTAGTGAAAATATTATAGAAATTAGTAATAATAGATATAAACAAGATTAATTAGGATATAATAAATTAGTATTCATTAAATGTAGTTCAAATGAAAGATTATATTTTTTTTATAATATATCCCTATATTTTTAAGAGAATTTACATAATTAAATTGTTATTCTTTCTTAAAAAATGATATATTATTTTATTAAAAGATAATTAAATTTGATCAATAATTTAAATGATTATTTTAATATAAGTAGTTATAAAGTTTTCGCTTGCTTAAATCATTGCAAAATATAATTTTATTCTAAGTTATCTTCTTTTAATAGATTATAAAATATTAGACTTGTTGTTTGGTATTATTTCTACTTGAATATTAAAAATAATAAATAATATTAATAATTTTCTTTTGTCAGTTTAATGATACCTTCAGAAGAATTTGAAGAAGTAATACTTGAAAAAAAAAGCTGTAGTGATGCTTAATATACTATTAAATAAGCAACCCAGAATTTTAACAATAAGTCATATAATTTAATATATTAGGTTACCTATTCCTCAAGAATAGCATATATCACATGAAAAATAACATAATTTATGTAAAGATAGTTTAAATGAATCGGAAATTTTATTGGAACTTGAGGAAGTTCCTGGATTAAAAAAATAAAAAAGTGATACATCTTATGATTACAAAATAAATAAACTTAAATCATTTGCAAATAAAATAATTAAAAATAATAAGAATAATCTTCTAAAATCAGAATTAAGTCCTATTAAAAATTAATAGTAAAATCCTAAGTCAATATTACCAGTCCAATCTAAAGGTTAAAATGATGAAAGAATTTCTATTATAAAATTTGAACATCATGATGAGGAATTAAAAGAACTTTAGTATTAAAAAATTATTAATTTAGCCGTTAATTAGAAGAAGTAGAAAATAAAATTTTAGAAAAACGAAAAAGACTAAAAGTTTTGAATCCTATTGATGAAAATGAGTAATTTGAATAGGATTAATAATAAATAGAAATCAAAGTGAATCAATCAAATGAAGAGAATACTTGCTTAATTTGCGGAGAAGATACGAAAGAAATAATATAAGTACTTAATTGTTAGCATGGCTTTTGTTCGTATAATTATTTTTTTTAATTTAAAGGGATTGCTATGAATAATATTTAGATGACAGAATAATAAATGCTAAAGTTATTAATATACCATGTCCATAGGAAGGTTGTAGTGAAATATTCCCTGAAAGAGTAATAGAAAATATCGTAAGCTTTACTAAGTTTAAAAAATACTTAAGATTTAAACTTTAAATTGAGATTGCAAATGATCCAAACAAAAGATTGTGTCCATCAGTAGATTGTGATTATTATGTTGAAAGAGTAAATTCAAATAATGACTTTGTTATGTGTAAATGTGGAACTTATGTTTGTCTCAAATGTGGTTAGCTTGCTCATTTTTATTAACGATGCTAGGTTTATTTATGAAATAAAATTTAGTAAGCTATCGATTACAATTTTATAATTGCATTAAATAAGTATAATATTAAGAGTTGTCCTAAATGTAAATCTAATATTGAAAAAAATGAAGGATGTAATCATATGACATGTAGATGCAAATATGAGTATTGTTGGGTTTGTTTATAGAAATATTATAATGATCATTACAAATTTTGGTCTCCCAGAGGATGTGCAAGTAAATATATTAAGAAATATTTTAAGTATGGTCAAATGGAAAATTCAAAACACATAAAGTTGTAAATCACCCTGATTTAATGAGAAGGATTTTTTTTCTACCTCGTCTTATCCTTTTTCTTTTCAGAATTATCATGATACTTCTAAAATTACTGTCTATAGCATTATTTAAATCATTTAAAAAGCCTTTCTTCAGGATAAATAAGAAATTTTATCGTTCAAGAAAACCTAAAAGTTGGTAAATGTTAATTATTAATTGATATTAGTTTTTTCAAAGCGATATATTTCTTCTTTGTGCAATTATTCATTATAATAATAGTGATAATTATCTTTCCTTTTTACTTTTTATTTTACAGGATTTATAAAGAAATAAAAAGGCTTTGTCATAAAGGATGTTCATATTGAATAATAAATAAATTTTATAAATGCTTATAGAATTATAATATAATATAATATATTAAGAAGTTGTTTGCTTTGTTGAAGAATAGGAATTTGATAATATATACAATAATCTAAGATCTCTGTTGAACTCAAATGATTAATTCATAAAAATATTAGAGTTTTAATAAGATCTAAAAATAGAATTATGATAGTAGTTATTAAAAATAATAAACAAAATAAAAAATGATATTAATTCAGCAATAATAAATAATTAAATATTGTTTAATTAGAAGGAGATTATTATTTATCTAGCCAAATAAAATTATATCATATAAAGAAGAATTTTAATCTTAATTAGAAATATAAAGTAAGTTTCTATAAGAACCAGAATTTTGGGTAAAATAAAAATATCTTAAATTTCATTAAAATTAGACAAAAGACTAAGTGCCAAATTTTAATATTAACTTAGATATCTAATTAATACTTATCAAAAATGCAATTTATAAGTAATGATACAATAATTTATTTTATTATTAACTGAACAAAAAAATATTGTTATTTGATTTTTTTGAAAAATGTGTGATTCCATCAACTTCAATTAAATTATAAATTAAACGAAACTTTAGAAAAGATTTTGGTTTTTCTGATGAATTTTACTTAATTATTTTATTTTGAATTCCTTCTAAATTTTTAATCATTAATCTAAAAATTGAAATATTTTTTCAGAAAATAATGATCAAAAATTTATGGTTTTGGATTAATTAAAATTAAAATAAATTCAGCTGACAACACTTCTATTTTGTTAGTAAAATTTCTCTATAACTCATGATTACTCTTAGGGAAAATAAACCTTTCACTATAAAATTTAAGAATTTTATCGAATGATGAGCTTACGATAATTATAAACTGATTTGATTATTCTTGATATTTTAAAAAACCAAAAATTTATTTCCTACCGTATATATTCATTAATATTAAACATGGATGAAGAAATAATTTGTATACATGAATTTATTTCAAATTATAGTTAACAGAAAAGAGGAAAAATTATAATCTTTTAGAAGACTTATACACATGTGAAATGAATATAAAGTGATTTTTTTTTAAAATTTTTCATATTTAAAAATAAGGAATTTATATTTATTAAAATTATATTGAAGATAGAGGGTCAGATGTCAGATTAACAAATAAATTTGAAGGAGTTTAGATTTTTAAAATAACAGAAGTGAAGTGAATTTATTATATAGACATTTTAATGATCTTATAATTAAATTCATGGATGATATTATATTTAAATAATTAAATAAGGATATGGAATATGATGGAAGAATATAATAAAAATATGAAATCAGAGGTGAATGATTAAATGACAATACTATGGAAAAGATGTAGTAGAGTATTGAAGTTTAAGTAGATAAGGAATGTGATTATTGATTTTTGTAAAAAGTAAAAATGTAGTATCTGAAGAGGAATCTTGAAAAATATATTTTCTTATTAGATCAATACAATAAAAAGAATAATTATTAAAATTTGATACATAATCTAGTGTGGTTATTATTTAATAATAAAAAAGTTGATTTAGATATATTTATAAAAGATGGCTGTTTAAGTTTAAATTGGGTTGATTAGTTAAATTACAAGAGGGATAATGAAATTTCTCTTTTTTTTTAAATTGTTTACTCAATATTATTTTTTTCAAAACGATATTGCTAAATTAAAAATGTAAATTGAATGAATAATTATTAATGTTTATATATTCTCATTGAATTATGAATAGAATGAGTAGAAATCATTACACTGGAACCTTTTCTAAGGGTCAGTATTTAGAATCTATAATATTACTCTACAAATAAATAATTAATATAAAATATGATAGCTCAAAAGATCGAGAGACATTTCTCACGAACAGTCCAAGCATAAAAATAATCAAAAAATAATATGAAATTTGTTTAATAAGTATTGTCAAAAGTGATTTGTATATAGTCCGATACATTTTTATAAGTCAACGAAGAAGCTTCTTAGTTCTGTTAAGACAACTTAGAAAATAAAAAATGTGTTACTACAAAACAAATTAAACAAAATGAGACTTAGATTCAAGGTTCAGAAGAGACTTTTGTAAGAGTACATGATGCTTAAAATGATTCATAAGTATTTCATTTTAAGTAAAATCTTCTAGACTGTCACACCTTTAGCTGCTCCAGAAGTTTAAGATCTTGAATAAATTCCAAGTCTTGAACATAATCTCTTCCCTATTTAAAATTCTAAAAAGTATTGTTTTTCAAATAACTTGCTCAGTAAATAGAAGATGATCAAAAGAAAAGTCATACATAAAAGATTTAAGTCTCACCAAACATTATTAATTTCAATGGACAGTAATCATTCTTTACCAACAGCACTAGATTTATAATTAGAAGAGGAAGTTTTAGAAAAGAATGAAACACACAATAAATCTTTTTCAAATAATCAAAAACCAATTCATAAATCTAATAAAGAATTGAAAGAAGGGGAATTATTTAAATAAATTCAAATTGAAGATTTTAATTAACCAAAAAATAGAAAAACTTATTATACTGATAAATTAATAAGCTTGATTAAAGGAGATTAAGTTGATACATTTATGGCATAAATGTATATTAATCATTTTATTCAAACTTATGGAATTCTCTAAAAATCAAAGTTATTAAATTAACCTGAAAGCTTCTAAATTTTAAATAAAATCAATCCATAAATAAGTATTTAATATATGTTATTTTATAAGTTAAATAAAAAACATTAGTAATTGATTTAGATGAAACATTAGTTCATTGTAATGAATCATATCTAATGCCAAAAGATCTAGTAATAAATATTAATTTAAATGATGCATTAAAAGTGAAAGTAATCAATTTAAATTTATAAATAAATAGGCTGAAATTAGTGTTCGGCCTTATGCACAATAATTTCTATAAAATATGGCTCAATATTTTGAAATTATGATATATACAGCTTCTAATGAAGATTATGCAAATTAAATAATAGATTATTTAGATCCAACATAATAATTGGTCAAGTATCGTCTTTATAGAAATGATTGCATAAATTTATCAGAAGGATGTCATATAAAAGATTTAAGAACTTTAAATAGAAATTTAAAAGATGTAATCTTGATTGATAATTCTGCTTATTCTTTTGTTTACTAATTAAACAATGGTATACCAATTATTCCATATCTTGATAATAAAAAAGATGATGTAAGAATGTTATAATAAATTTTAATAGGAATTAATAGAATTGGAAAACTACTTAATGGAATTACAAAAGGTTGATGATATAAGAATAGAGAATGAGAAGAGTTTTCATTTTTAGTAGATATAAAATAGTAGTTCAATATAACAAGCTGTTAATTACTTGATGTGTAATAGAAAATGATTTTTATTTAATTCTTATATCTTAACTTGTTTAATGAAATTTTTATATTCAATAGAGTTTAGAACTTCTACGAACTTCTGTTCGAACTTCAGATTTCTTTTAATCTTGCATAGCTTTATCAGCAGCTTCAACTTATGCTAATTATCTCTTTAAATCTGCAATTTTTTGATTGCTTTCAGCATAATTCTTTTCTAAATTTGCATATTTTTTCATCCAAGTTTCAACTTCATTTGATGCATATGTAACTTTTTCAGTTATTATTACTTCATATTCTTATCTCAATTCTTCAAGTCTAATTCTTAATTCTTCCATCAATTATTCATCATCATGTATTTTTTATTCTAATTCTAATTTTTAAAGTTCTAAATTTTTAACTCTTGTATCATCTTAAACTTCTTAAACTGTTTCTTCAACAATAGTTCCATTATTCTTTCTAATTTAAATTTATAATTCTAAGATTTATCTCTCTAAAGTAGCACATTTCAATCTCCAAGGTGCTTCAATTTCTAATAAATATAATCAATAATATTATTACCATCAACAGTAATAACTTATAATGGTCTCTCAACATGTCTAAATTCTTGAACCTATGTTTATTATTGAACAGCCTAAGAATATCATATTTAAATTAAGGTACCACTGGTTATTAGATAACAACTTATTGAACTGGAGGAGCAACTTGAACAGGAGGGGCGACTTAGATATTAACTGGTTAATAGGGTGGTCTGACAGTAATAGGACTTGATTATTGAACAGGAATGATTTGTTGAGAAGTAACAGGCAAAATTTGATTCTATTAAACAGGTAGTTGAGTTGGTCTTATTTATTGTTGTTATGGAAATTATTATTATTAAGGGATCTAATATGAAGAGCCCTTTTGAATATATGATTTTTTAATACAAACTATTATTGGGGTAAATAAGTTTATGGGGATTGGATTAGTGGATTTTGAGGAGATTGCTAATATTGTTTTGGAATTCCTGGAGACTAAAGCTAAGATAAGAATTTATATTTTGATCATACATATTGACTCTAAATAGGTGAACTTTAGAAGATGTTGTTCTATTGGAAAGGTTGTTATTATCTGGGATCAGTTTAGTACATATTTTTTTAAATAATTTTTATTTAAGAGTTAGGAAAATTATCTCGTTAATTTAAAAGGAAGTCATTTAAATAAAATACTAGGATTTAAACAATATAATAAAAATATATATATCAATAATATGTCAATTCAATATATGAATTATAAAATGTAATTGATTTATAATAGGTAAGTTATTTAATATAGATGTCATTAAACTGTTTTATAAATCTTATTATTTAAGTTAATATTTATTTATGCTTCATCATCTCTCAAAATATAGATTCACTCTAAACAAAGTTGCTAATTTGGATTCTATCAAGGTGTTCATTAAAGATCTTAAAGATGTTGCCTCTATTGTTCCCTCAAAATTAGATGAAACTGAAGTGTAGCTCTCTCTATAAATTCATGCTCTAGATAAAAGTTGGAAAATAGTATGATACTATTATTATTCTTTTTTAGAGTTCAAAGTCTTTGGCTAAAGAATACAAATTTGAAACATTCAAATAAGCATTTGTATTTATGAATACAGTTTCACATATGGCTGATTAAATGAATCGTAATTTTGAATTTTTAATTAGATTACCCAAAATGGATTAATGTTTATAATAAACTAAATGTAGAAATAACCACTTAAGATGTAAGTGGTATTTCAATAAAGGATGTTCTTTTGGCTCATCTAATGGAATCTGCATATAAAGATGTTAAAGAATAGAATATAGAAAGTGTTGGTGAAATTGGAAAGGTGTCATCTTCTATATTATTATAAAATTGGAATACAAATTACACTTAATATTAGGAGATTTTGAAAAAAAATGTTCACAAACTTTGAAATTGATAAATGTTATGACAATTAAATAAAATTTAATATATATCTGATTCACACGTAAATAGTTTATTCGAAACATTTATTTATTATTTTTAATGAATAAGTTCATACTATTTGCCTTGTTGACCATAGCTACTTAAGCTTTATTTGAAAATTCATACACAATAAAGAGTGCCAATAAAATGTAAGACTTTAGAGCAATATTGGAATCAGACTTTGTTTCTATGGTTTATTTTTATACTGAAGATTGTGAGAATTGTTAAAGAGCTGCCTCATTAGTAGAAAAGGTGGCCGAAGATTAAGAAGGTATAATCAATATCTATGGTGCCAATTGTGATCAAATCAATAAGGATCCTAATTCAGTGTAATCTTCATAAATTACTTTAGTAATTAATTACCCTATTGCAGTGAGGATATGTTAGATTAATTGCCTTAAATCTCTTTTTTTGAACCTCCTTAATTTAAAATTAATCCTTATACTAAAGAACCTATGATAGCAACTGAACATAGATTTTAAGGAGAAGCATCTCCATAATCATTAGGTACTTATGGTCATAAGTTTATACCTAATAATGTGATTAGAATCAATACATTAGCAGAATTGAATCATTTTGAAAAAACAGATCCAAAATTAAATAAAGTTATCTTATTTACAAAGAAGAAAGAAACATCACCTATACTTAAATCTTTGAATTTACATTATTTTGAAAGAGTTAAATTTGGTGAGATTGTTGCATCACCTGAAACACAACCACTTTTAGATTTTTTTGATATTAAAGATATTCCTTAAATAATTGGTTTAGAAAATAATGGGGATAACACTTATAATCATTAAATTTTTGATGGAGATTTATTATTTAAACCTATTAAAAAGTTTGTTAGAAGTTTGGCTTCAAAAGATAGAGTTCCATATGAATAGATTAATGAAAAACCTAAAGAAGATAATAGAAGAAATAGAAGATCTAAATAAAATGAAGAAGATGATGATACATAAAAACCATAAATCATAACTCCAATAAAATTAGATTAAAATGTTTTTAATAAATAATTATTAAGAAATGATAAACCTGCTCTTGTTCATGTATATAAAGATTAAATGCATAAAGCATGGGATGATTCTATTAAAAAATATAAATCTTTATTTGATTATTATGAATTACAAGTAGATACTTAATAAGATGAAGATTTAGCTAAAGAATTATTTATTAAGAGTTATCCTAGTATTAGATTTTATTAGGTTGGTAATGTTGGAAAAAAGAAATCTAATAAAATTTCATTCACTAAAGAATATAATCTAGAAGAAATTAATAAGGACATTCAAGATTTAATTGATGATAAAACTATTAATATCAATGAATAAACTCTTTAAATGTAATTAAGTTAATTCATAGCTGATAATCATATAGTTGTTATTTATTTCTATTAAACTCCTATTGTAGGTCTTACTTATAGAGTACTTAGTTAATTATAAGAATATTATGGTAAATATAAATTTTTGTCTTTTAAAAATGCTCCAGAAATGGTACTTTAATAATTTTAAATACCTACTTAACCTGCAATTACAATTATTTTTAGAGAAGTCACTGATAAAAAGGAATTAGAAGAGGAACTTAAACCTGAATAAGTGAGATAAGCATTATTTACAGGTAAACATTCTTATGAAGAAATAAAGAGTTTCTTAGATTCAGTAAAAATATATAATAATATTATTAGTTTGATGAAACCAAGAAGACATCTCATAAAAAGGTCATTGAGATTTCTACTTAAGAATAATTATTAGAACATTGTAACAAAAAGTAAAAATTGTGTTATATTGCACTTTTAAATGGAGAACATAAAAGATTAAAACATGATGATATATTAACAAAATGGGAATATTAATTAGAAGTTTTAGATAGAATTAAAAATGCTCATGGTGATAAATAAGCTTCTTTTGTTTATATTGATGCTTCATGTCATGATGAAGTATTATTAAAATTTGATATATCTGATGATTCTTTACCTAATTTTGTTGCTTATTAGAAAACTAAAAAACTGTAATTTATATTATAATTATTAGATATTCTAAATTAATTGGACGATTTGATTATGAATCTATTAATAAATTCATAGATAAATAGTATAAAGGTTAATCAAGCAATATTTAAATATAAGAACTTGAAATATTTGAAAAAGATTGTGAAGAAGTATTTGCAAAGAGAAGAGAAGCCAGTTAATAATCTGGACTTTCTGATTTTGATGAAGAAATATTAAAAGAGATATTGGAGGAAGAGAAATAAAGAAAGAAAGAATTAGAAAAAGAATTAAAAAAGGGAAAGAAAAAGAATAAAAAATCAAAAGATGATTTATGATTTTTTATGTACATAATTTTATGATCAATTAAAATATATGTATATTTAATACAATTAATTGAATTAATATTATAAAGTATATAAATAAATTAATGTTTAAATTATATAATAGAAAGAAACAATAAAAATGATTGTTTTGATTATCTTAAACTTTAAAAATAAGGATTATTATATTTATAAATAACTACAAATTTATATTTATAATTTATAAGAACATGAAAAAATGGAATTGATAAGTAAATATTTACAAAAATAATCTAGAAAAACATTCTTATATAATTTATTTATTATTGTACTTATATATTATTANGGTCTTACTTATAGAGTACTTAGTTAATTATAAGAATATTATGGTAAATATAAATTTTTGTCTTTTAAAAATGCTCCAGAAATGGTACTTTAATAATTTTAAATACCTACTTAACCTGCAATTACAATTATTTTTAGAGAAGTCACTGATAAAAAGGAATTAGAAGAGGAACTTAAACCTGAATAAGTGAGATAAGCATTATTTACAGGTAAACATTCTTATGAAGAAATAAAGAGTTTCTTAGATTCAGTAAAAATATATAATAATATTATTAGTTTGATGAAACCAAGAAGACATCTCATAAAAAGGTCATTGAGATTTCTACTTAAGAATAATTATTAGAACATTGTAACAAAAAGTAAAAATTGTGTTATATTGCACTTTTAAATGGAGAACATAAAAGATTAAAACATGATGATATATTAACAAAATGGGAATATTAATTAGAAGTTTTAGATAGAATTAAAAATGCTCATGGTGATAAATAAGCTTCTTTTGTTTATATTGATGCTTCATGTCATGATGAAGTATTATTAAAATTTGATATATCTGATGATTCTTTACCTAATTTTGTTGCTTATTAGAAAACTAAAAAACTGTAATTTATATTATAATTATTAGATATTCTAAATTAATTGGACGATTTGATTATGAATCTATTAATAAATTCATAGATAAATAGTATAAAGGTTAATCAAGCAATATTTAAATATAAGAACTTGAAATATTTGAAAAAGATTGTGAAGAAGTATTTGCAAAGAGAAGAGAAGCCAGTTAATAATCTGGACTTTCTGATTTTGATGAAGAAATATTAAAAGAGATATTGGAGGAAGAGAAATAAAGAAAGAAAGAATTAGAAAAAGAATTAAAAAAGGGAAAGAAAAAGAATAAAAAATCAAAAGATGATTTATGATTTTTTATGTACATAATTTTATGATCAATTAAAATATATGTATATTTAATACAATTAATTGAATTAATATTATAAAGTATATAAATAAATTAATGTTTAAATTATATAATAGAAAGAAACAATAAAAATGATTGTTTTGATTATCTTAAACTTTAAAAATAAGGATTATTATATTTATAAATAACTACAAATTTATATTTATAATTTATAAGAACATGAAAAAATGGAATTGATAAGTAAATATTTACAAAAATAATCTAGAAAAACATTCTTATATAATTTATTTATTATTGTACTTATATATTATTATTAAAAAAAATTATTTATTGATTTAAAATAAATAATGATTGCTTCATTATAGAGATATTAATAAACTTAATTTATTATGTTAGTAATTATACTTAATAGAATAAAAGTTTGTATAGTATTATCATTTAATAAAACATAATATATATAATTATCAATAAAAGAAGTATAAGTTATAAATGATAATCAGTAATAATATTAAGGATAAATGACTAAAATAAATCTCGTATTAATCTATTTAAAGTCTTTGATAATATTGATAACAAATAGATAAAAAATATTAATGATTTGAATAAAGAAATAGTAAATAAAAGTAATATTAGATTAAATTATAAATTCTATTGAATGACATATTAGAATTATGAGTCTTAATGTTTAAATCTTATATATTATAGTTAATATCACAATTACTATAATTTCTTTTCAAAATCATCCAAATCTTAATTAGCTTCCTATTATTTCATCTATTGTTGAGGCAATTGCTTATTTGGTCCTGCTTATTAAGATTCCATCTAATATATTAAGTCATCAGCCTAAGATAATTTAATAGAATACTTATTATTACATATCTCCCAAATCAACATCATCATTCATGTTCTCCATAGCATCATCCATTTATTCCTATACAATACCCATTTTCATCATTTCTTTTTATAAATCCTACATAGTAGCTGAGATTTCCTTGATATTCATCAATTTATTAATCTCTTTCATAACATTAGAGATGCTTCCCATAGCTTAAGCCATTTTAATATTAGCAAACATATTATCTATTCCATACATAACATTTTAAATCTTTCCTTTATTTATTAGATTTCTTTCTTTTTGTTTTTAACATTAAATGACTTATTTTGCATAAGTCTATTTAATAAATTTATCAGCTTTATCTCCTTTCTTTATTTCTTTTTGAAGTAAATCTTCGGCCTTTCTCCTTGCCTATTCAATTTAAAAATTTTATCTTTTAAAACTTAAATTAATAAAGTACCTTTCAATTTCTCTCATTTCTTTTTACAACTCTTTATTCATTGATCTTTATTTATCTCTTAATTGATCTTTATTCATAGATTATAAAGTTGGTTCAGCTTTAGGAGCTTATTTGGATCCGAAAAAATTCATAATGAATAAAATATATATATAATAATGTATATTGTTATGAATCATAATACTGTATTTAAATGAAAAAATTCGTAATCAATATTTTAACGAATAACTTATCCTCTATAATATCCATCAATTTTAGTTATAACTCCCTTAAAATCATACTCCTCTTCTGCCTTTGGTTTAAGCTGGGCTGTATTTAAATACTGAATATTTGCAGTTGGTGCACAACACTATCCCATTAATTTAAAATATAAATAATATCATATTTTTGTCAATTTTAGATTTGATATGTAGAGTATAATCCTATTTTCTTTAATAAATTGACAAGATCTACTTCTATTAACAATCACAAGAGTTATGTATTAATAAAAAAGTAACAGAATAATTTAAATTCTATAAAGAGACATTCTCATTCTATTTGATTTTTAATTAAACAAACAAAATTGAATTGTCAAACTTTACAAACTTCTTAAACTTAAGTATTTAAATCCATAATGTTGATCTGATAATTTAATAAATATTTTAATATCATCATATTTGTTTATTAGATCAAATAAATATTTCATATATTTATATGAAAATATAATTATCTTTTTTCTTCTCTAAATACAAAAGATTATAATGTACAAATTTATACTATTTGATTTATTTTAAATAATTAACACAATAAGTTAGTTGGTTTTCATTTATTACAAGAAAGAATTCATTATTCACAATAGTATAGGCTTAATACAAGAAAATTTAATAGGGATCATTAAAAATTGATTTTTTTAAAAGAAATAATTCCAATTGTAATTAAATTTTCTATTATAGTAATTATCAATTATTTAAAGTGGAACTATTTTCATTTAATAATCAGAACATTTTCTAACATTAGAATTGTAAACTACTCTTCATTCTGTATATTAAAATTAGTAATATTCTTAATTATATAGACTTAAATCTATTCTTAAACATTCTAATTTATTTATTCTCATTTTTTCATTATTTTATAAAATATATAAAAAATGCAGACATTATTATTTATTTGAATATTTATTTGGCTCCTATTCAATTTAAATTATCCCACTTTGAAATTGAATTATATCTCTTTAGATGTGGGTATTTAGAATAATAAAATAGAATAGATACTCAATTCTGAAGATTTCAAAGAATATGTTTATGATTATTAAATACTTAATGTATCTTATACTATTGTAAATCTCATTTGGCATTTTTCTTAGCTTCTTATTATTTTTTAAGTTGATTGGCATCAACAAATACGATAGTCTTACATCTCTTGATGACCTTTAACCACTTCAATTTACACTTAACACATTCAAGTCTAAAACGATTAAAAAATGTCATACTTTAAGGCAACTTTCTTTGTTGTCTTTGCCTTCTTTCTGAATATAGGTTTAGTTTGTCCTCCATAACCAGCTTGCTTCATGTCGTACCTTCTTCTACCTTAAGCAAATGGACTTTCCTTGCTCTTTTTATATTGGGACACTTTGCAACTTTAATGACTTCCACATTTTCTGCAATAGGTCTTTCTGTTTTTGGGGACGTTCACCATTTATTATTTTTTTAATAAAATTTAATCATTTTTTGAAATTCCAAAAGAATCATAATTTTTATTGAATCAATGAATAGTATAGAATGATTGATCTTATATCTCAATAATATTTGATAGATTCTTAGAATATAAAAGAGTAAATTGAAATATTCATAGTAATTTTTATAATCTTAACAAATACTATTTAATCAATTCTAATTATTATTTCTGTCCTTCTATTTATAAATTATACTATTAAAATTAAATAATATTATAATACATCATATGCCATTTATTCTGTAATCTTTAAAACTTAATTATAATTTTAAGCTTATTTTAAATATTCATCAATTTCAGCACCTTCATCATTTTATTATTGAACTAAAAAGCTTTAACAAAATTCATAATCTATTTTTTATTATTTAATTTTATCAATTTAATGATTTCTAATTTATTATTATGAATCAGGTTAATTATTGATATAATCTAATAATTAATATGTATTAGATTCATGTTATTAACATATTTTATTTAAATTCTTAGATTAGGATTCAATATTATTTAAAATTTAATCATAGATTAAATCATTATTTTTTATTTTCTATTCTTTTATTTCTTAAAATGTTTAACAAATTTAATTAAATAATTAATTGACTTATTTGTCTATTTAATCATAATCTTAAAATTATGGAACATCTTTATTGAATGCAATATTAGCATTTGATTTTTCCATAGATAAAATTTCTTATTATAAATCACTTTCAATTTTAGCAACAAATTTTAATTCAATTGTTTTTTCTAATAATTTTAATTCATTATCAATATTCATTTCCATTTTTTAAACTACTTAATCAGATAAATTATTTTATTCTTCTATTTTATCAAATATTATTTTTCTTGTTTATTTTACTTTTTATTCTAATTGAGACACTTATTATTAATATATAATATTATTCTTTTAATCCTTAATAAATTATTTCATTTCAATTTTATAAATATCTTTATTATTTTAAGTTAATGATTAATTATCTAATGGTTAATTTAAGGATAAGATTTATGTTTAGGCTTCTTCTTGAAATTTATAAACCTATTGTTTATTATTTGCAGATTATTTTTAATCAATCTTTAAAGTGATTTCTGAAATAGATTTTGAAATCTCATTAATTAATTCAATTAATGTCATATATTAACTTTCTAAATATTCACACAAGAGAGGTTTATTAAAATGTTCTTCAATTAAATTTAATTCATATTGATTTCCTATTTGAATTTAATATTTCTAATTTTGTATAGGTTTAGTTTATTGATCATCAAATATTTACTTTACTAATTCTATTTATTAATCTTTAGGAATTTATATTTCTAGTATTTTCAATTCTTTAATCATATTTTTAATTGATTCATCTTCAATATCGACATAATTCGAGAGTGTTTAAAGCATATAATTTAAATTTGAATTTTTATGATAATTAATGAATTAAAGTGTAGTATTGTATAAAAAAATATATTATTTAAAGAAGTACATAAAGATTAATTATATGATTAAGATAATGTATAAAATTAATAATAAACATTATTATAAGTATTAATAGGGATTGTGAATTTAGTATAAATAATATACTAGAGTGAAGAACTGTCATATAGTTGATTTGTTTATAATTTTAATAGTTATTTTATTAATAATGATAGCATAACCTAGATATTCTTAGAAAATGGCTGATACATTTTCAAATAGCAAAGACTTTTATTCTTTTCACTAAAAATAACTGATTGGAACAAAAGTACATCCTCAACTTTTAGAACATTTATCAATCTCTTAGCGAACTAAAATGGCAACTATGAAGGACAGGACTAGTTCAGATATATTTACAAGCTTCATTAATAGAGGGATGTTGCATAGTGAATAGAAAGAGTTAAATCTTTAAACTTATGACAATTCTTCAACGATGATGATTAAGTAGAATGATGATGAAAGAATTAGTAAAGAAGAGTAAATAACACCATAGATTCTACAAACTTAAGGGGAATAAGAGAAATGTAAGAAATCATATTATATATCAATAGCAAAGAAGTTATTACCTCCTCTTAAGTTAATTACTAATAAACTGAAACAAAAGGAGAGACAGAACCAATCAAAAGAACGTGCTGAAACATTTAAAAGTTCCCTTATTGAAACGTATATAATATATTAAATATAGACCTACAATGTAAAAAACTTTAGCAAGAAACCATAGAGCATTTGGATAAGGTGAATAGAAATCAACGATAGAAAATGAAACTAGTGTACATAAAATGGGTAGAACTTCTTCTACTCCTTTTATGTAAAAGTCAAAAGAAGATAAAGAGGATCATTTAACAAGCAGATCTGGAACACCTTAAAAAGAGTTATTTCATGCAAGTCCACTTAGACATAGATAAAAGTTATAAAATAAATAAGCTATAATTCAAACTCCATAATCTAAAGGAGTAAAAGAAAAGAAGTTATAGAATGCATTTTATTCATCATCATCATAATAATAATAAATCAAAGTCATTGACATTTAAAATGATAAAAAAATAATACCTAAGAAAAAAAAGAAATAGAATCAAGGATAAGTTATTTAATAATAGAATTAATAAAAAGAAAAATTAACATAACGTCATACTTCATATAGATGTTTTATTAATAAAATCAATTTTTCTAATAATTAATGTATTTGTTGTCCTAGTAAATTGGAAGTTCCATCTTACTTTTATTATGTAGGTAAAGGAAATAATGGTAGTCTAATTAAAAACATATTCCGTTAAAGATGGTGGTGGTAAGAAGTAGAGACTTTAGATATAATTAAAGTAAATATGTCTTGGACATAATTAAAATAAAATGTTTGCATAGCTTAATTACATCCTTGTATTATTGATTCAGGACCATAAAGTTCTGAATCATTTCTTTTGAGTCATGAAGAAACTATTGGAGACACTAGTGATTCTGATATGGAAGCAAGACCAAAATAATTAAATAGTACTGCAGGTTTATAAAAGTCTACTCCTTAATAATAATAAAAGAGACCATAAAATTATTATTCATTAAGAAGAATCTTTAATTAATTAGATCTCTAAAAAATATTAAATTATATGGACGAAACAGGATGTTAAGACTCTTAATTAATATTTAGTGATTGCACTGAAAAATTACTCAAAGATATCAAATCTCTTTGTACTAATTAAAGATAGGATAGCAAAAACTTTAGAATGCATAATCATATGGAAGATAATTGGCATTTGGGTAATAAAAAGGCTTTGTTCTATAATATGAAACATTATTATTAAATTATAAGAGAAGATTATAATAAATTACTTCCTGTCACTTTTCATGTATAAAAAGGAGTTAATGATATAGAATATTAGAAATTTTTAGAATATTTTAATAGGAGAACAGAAGAAATTAAAGAAATTGAAAGAACTAGAGACAGAAAGGATAAAAGAAAACTTCCAATTAATTTATGGATTATCAAACCAGGTGAATTAACAAATAGAGGTAATGGAATCACTGTATGTAATGATCTTAATGAAATCAATAAAATTATTAATGAAGAAATTTAAGAAGGTAGACCCAGAACATATATTGTATAATAATATATAGAAAATCCTCTATTATATAATAAAAGAAAATTTGATATAAGATGTTATATGCTATTGACTTCTTAAAATGGTATATTTAAAGGATACTGGTATTAAGAGGGTTATATAAGAACATCATCAAAAGAATTCACTACAAAATGTTTGGATAGATTTGTTCATTTGACTAATGATGCTGTATAATCTAAAGATTAAGATTATGGAAAACATGAACCTGGAAATAAGATATCTTATCTTGAATTTTAAAGATATGTTGAAGCTAATCATCCTAATTCAAAATTTAATTTCTTTATAGATATATATCCTAAAATGAAGTCTGCTGCACTTGAAATGATGAAAGCTACTTATGGAAAAATTGATCCACATCGTAGAATTAATAGTTTTGAAGTAATAATTATAATTTATATAAGCTTTATGGATTAGATTTTATGATTGATGACAATTTTAAATTATGGTTAATAGAAGCAAATACAAATCCATGTTTAGAACTCTCTTGTCCACTTCTAAGCAGAATTATACCAACTATGGTTGAAAATCTTTTTAGGATTGCAGTTGATCCAATTTTCCCTCCTCCTTTTTTTGAAGAATGGCCTTAAAATAAAAAATTATTTATACCAGATAATGTTGTTGAAAACAATAAATTCGAATTAATTTTTGATGAATTGATTGAAAAAAAGAATATGATCAATCTATTTCGAGATAATAAAATAGAATAAGAATGTTTTGATATTGAAGAAGAGGAAGAAGAAGAAGAAGAAAAAGATTGAGAACTGATTTGATAACTTATTTGTAAAAATATTTTATATAAATTTATAATATATATTTTTATATTAATTAAATCACTAACAAATTTAACAAAAGTAATTATTATTCCCAATCTTTTCTTCAATTATACCTACACATTCTAAATGATACCATTCTTTACATGAATCACACTATTATTATATTATTTTATTACTTAAATATATTTTCTATCTGGATTCAAAGGTTATCGACATAAACAAAATTTTTATAATATTTCATAACCTCTAAATTTCTATTTTTCAGAATCCCATGATAATCTATTAAAATATATAGTTGATTCTATTTCATTCAATTCAACATATTCATTACATGTTATAATATTGCATTTATTTATAATAGTCTATGCTAAAATATACTCTTAATGTTTGGTTTTAAATAGTTCCTATTCTGAAACCCATTCATTACTTTTAGGATGGTTTTTAATAACTTCACTCTTTCTCATGTACCATTGAATATTACATAAACATATATATTTATTTGTTCTAGGAACCATAATAGACACAATTTATTTGATTATCCCTATATAATCATCCTCATGATTATCACCACTATTTATTAAAACTGCTTCACCAACATTAATATCTCTTCCTTAAACTCTAATCTAATCATACTCTTAAAACAACCCTCTATTTCTTTTTGAAACTGTAATTAGTTGCTACCATTTTTGTTACTTATACAAATCTCGTATACTTAGTAATTATTCTTTATTGATTTTTTTCTTTTAGATGCTTTAACTATTGTGAGATGCTTTTTTCAATTATTATTTGTTTAGTATAGTTTTTTTAATCCAGTGAGAATAATTCATTTTATTTATTTAGGATCTAAAATTAATTGATTTATATTTTAATTAAAAAATCAATTTGAATCTCCACTGCTTTCAGATATATTCAATATGTCTTAATCTTTGAATTATGGGGAACAAAACAGTGTTTTTTGATATTAATCTTTTCGTATTTCTAAATGACTATTATTTTGACTTGATTCACTGGGATATGTCATTTATTTTTAATCACTGAAATGTTTCATTTCTTTAGAACTAAACATTTATTAGACTTCTTTATCTTCATCATTTTCAAATTCACTTGGATCTTATTGATCATCACACAAATTCATTTATTGAACTGAATCCATTAATTAAGATTATTTATTTGATAAAATAGCTTTTTTACATGTTTCAGTATCTTATAGATATTATAAACATTAAACTCCTTAAATTTCATATTTTTTAATATCAGGTGTTTCTAATATAAATTTTTAACTTGATTAAATCATCTATTAATAAAATCTAAGTTAAAATAATAATATAATTATACTATTATGTTTTGGATTGATTATTCGAGATTTTGTTTAAGATAGATCTAAATTTCTCACTTTTAGCAGGACTAACACTTGAATCATTTTAAATGAGTTCACTATTTTATTATTAATCTTCAATATTATCAAAGAGAGTTCTGAAAGTACTTTTTTATTTTTAGAAAGCATCTTTAGGTATTTAAACATAATCTTCTAATTTAGTGGCTGTTCTTTAAACTGATTATTTAGTTTAACCACTGGCAGGACTATGAGGAGTAGATTTATGTGATTCATGATCACTTAATTATCCATCATCATCAGGTATATTTTTTTTGGATTCTCTATAACTTTCTAGAATCATAATTGGATTAGAAGTAACAGATTATTTATCTTCATGTATACTTTATTTAGAATTCTTTTCAGATTCTAAAATATTCATAAATATATCTTTATTTTCAAAAGAAATATAAAGATTATTTTTATTTGTATTTTATTATTATTATTATTATTATGATTATAATTTGGAAGCACTTAGTTAATAAATATTATTATCATTAAAATATTAGTAAAAATTAGATGGAGTTTCATTATTATGTGGTTATGTTTTGGATCCACTATAATCAGTTTTAATTCTCTATTATTAATTTGATTAATTGATTTATGAATCTACAGTATCAGTTCTTTTCTTTGGAGGAGTTGGTTAAGTTCTAATAGTTTAATTGAATATTGAATTGATATGTAAAATTAATTATTATTCAGATTCACTTAATTAAAAACTAATATTATATAAAAAAGTAAATACTTTTATACAATCAAAGCTAAAGTAGATTGAATATCTGTTTTGGATAATGATTTTACTGAAATAGTAGAAGATAATAATTATGTTTGGAATTCATTCATTTTAATAAATTCAGATTAATAATAATCCATAATCTTTCTAAAAGGATCCATTCTTATATCTTCTAAAACTTCAGTCCAATTTTTTTCAATATCTTATTTTATATTTTAAGCATCCAATTAATGCTATTATAATACATAATATAAATTTGATAATTATTTTAAAGATTCTTATCTTTGATTCTAAAGTATTTACATACTATTATTACAAGCATCATTTATTATTTATTACATTACTTATTTAGATTATTGACATTTACTAATTTGAGATTCATACCATTAATTAATTTTTTCAATTTAATTTTACATTTAATTTAATATATCAGCTCTTTATGAATTTGAATATTCTAATTTAGTTAAAAAACCACTTAATTCTCTTTCTTTGAAATTAGCATCTGAAAAATTTGAATGTCTATTTGAATCTACTGAATTTGATTAAAATGATAATATTTATGATTCTTATGATTTGATTATCAATTGACTTAAATCTTACACAATCTTACCTTAACTAGCTACTACAATAGCACATTATGAACAATAAAATATCTATTTTTAATATTCATCCACAAAATATTTAGCTTTTTTAGTTCTATGATTAATACATGTTCTAACAGGAAATGATTCTTATAAATGATCATTAGATCCACTAGTATTTTAATATGGTGATTGTTATGTTAATATTTTAGCTTAATGAAATTTGCTATTTAAACTTTCACCAACCTATTATTAATATATTATCTTACACTTTATTATTCAATAGATATTTTAGAATGCAAATAAGTACTTGGAGTACCAATATTTAATAAATTCATATCATTCTCTTTCTCTTTGTCATAATAAATCATTCTAATACATTGTTCATCCAAAACAGATTTACTTTTACTATGTTCTGTATTTAATGTTGTAGTTGTAATTTTAGTTGGTGTATGATTCATTCCAAAATCACATTTCTTTAAAATATTTGATTTTAAATTATATGAAACTGAATTAGCTGAACTATGACCTTTAATTTTATGGTTTGATTTTGTTTATTATTGTTGTATAGATAAATATGGACCTAATTATAATGCATTTGTTTTAGGTTTTTGTGAATTTGAACTTTTTGGAGATGAAATAGCTACATATTTACATTATAATTTATTACTTTAATGATTTTATAATAGAGATGCTACACTTTCTTATATTTCTGATGGTGTTGGAGATTTAGCTATAAATCTATTAATCTAAGGAGTAGCTGAATATTCTTCATTTACAAGTGAAGAAGGTCTTCTTTATAAGAATTCTTCATTCTTTTTATAATTGCTTTATTGAGAATTTGGTGAATAATCTCTCCTTTTACTAAATTGATTCAATTTTTCTTAAAATTATTCATTTACAATATGACTTTTATTTTGCAAGGACATATTGGATTTATGAATAGCAATTTATTAGTATGGTTTTTAAGATGGTTTAGATACTTAATTATTTGATCTTGGTGATGATGGTTTCTTATCCATAATTTCATTTGTTTTTTTGTTAAAAAAGTTCTCATTGATCTGTGTGGGAATCAAATTTGAAAGTTTAATCTTATCAGGTTTGTTAGAAAATTATTGTGCTAAAAATTATTAAGCTTATTGTTATTTGAGTATTTATTGCATTTGTTATGACATTTCTTAACTATGAAATTCAAATTCAATTTCTAAATTTAATTATATAAATGCCTCCAAATATTTAATAATCTAATTACTTTATATTAACAGCTACTTTACTATTGATGTATTATTACTTAAATTAACCATTAACTCTTTATACTTATCAAAATATATCACTCAATCATCATCTTAATTTATAAATATTAAATTTCATTATCAATACTATGAATTCAAGTACTCTTAGACTCATTTATTTTAACTAATATTTTATTAACTTTTATATACTTACATATCTTTATACTCAATATGTTTTACATTTATATTTTTACTATCTTATTTTTAACAATTACTAAAATATTTTTAATATATCTTTAAATTCATCTATTTTCTATAATTAAATAAGAAAACATTATCTTATTATATTCTCTATCAACATCACATCCTCATTATTCTTAACATTATTCAGAATTACTTTTTCATTAACTTAATTCTAATACAACTTAATTAACATCAAAATCATGGAAAATATGCTCTCTTTTTGATTAATTATAGATCTTAAATAGTATACTTAAAACATTAGAAGTTCACTTTAATTTGAAGCTTATTAAAATTTTTATATGCTTGATAAAGCACTAAAATTTTCGTAATTCAAGGAACCTCCATCTTAGTTCCTTGAAATTTTATAACAACCTCTAAATGTAATCAAATCAAAGCCCAACTACTTTTATAAAGAATATGAAAATTCCCCTAACAAATTCAAAAGATTGAGAATTTCAACCCATCATGAAGGTGCTGTCAATAATATTGTTATTGACTTGAATATCCCAAGTCCAAACTTTAGAGTATAAAAAAAATTGGATTACCATGACAATAATATAACAATCCATTCTCAAATCACTAGTTAAAAAACTACACCAAAAACATCACGATCAAATAGTCCGTTAAAGAAAGTATATTTAGGCTCTAGCCTAGTAGCTCGAAGAAAATTAAATGGTTATGTAAATCACAAAAAATCACCTGACCCTTATGAAATATGTCGATAAATGGCAAAGAAAATATAATATAAGAAAACTGAAACTTTGACTATTGCTTCTCAAACTCTCTATCTTTTAGCAAAATATGGTACTTGATAAATCAAATAATGATATTTATTAAATTTTCTTAGATTTACTTAGAAACAACCCTTTAGAATTTACAATATGTATTGATTATTTAATCTTATATTAAATTAATTTATATATCTGACAGATATATATATATATCAATGTTAATTAATTCAGTTATTTGATAATATGTCTATTCAATTTCAAATTGTGATTTATATTTAATTATTTTTAATAAAAACCAAAGTTTTTTTATCACTGGTTTTTTAAAGACATTGAGCAATTAATATATCAATTATCTTAGAGTTTTAAAATAGTCTAATCATAATCATTAATATTAATAAGATTTAATATCATTATCAAAAAATATATAAGGAGTAAAGAACATTATAATATGTTATTATAAATTAACTATTTTTATGAAAGACAATTTATCAGCTTTTTAGAATTTATCTACATTAATCAAAATAATAAATCATTTCTTATATTTTTTTTGAGTCTAAATATTTGCTTCTTAGTTATTATCAAATAAAAATATCATCATTCTCCATTTAACAGATCTACTATTGTTATTTTTTATAATTTCTTAGTTATATTTATTGATTAAGGAGTATAATAATAGATTCATACTATAAACATGCATATTTAAGAAGAAATCTGACAAATATTTTTGAGAATTCAATTAATTATTGAATATCTCCTTGAGTAGCAACTAATTTGGTTTTGCTTCCGAAAGGTATAACTATGAATGATAATAAATGCAGTTTTATATTTCTAACAGAGCAATCATATACTTCAATATCTTTAGCTGCCAAAAATAAACTTGCTATTATATGAGTGTGCATCTATTGAAAAAATTATAAGAAAATTGATGAGCTAAACCTGTGGATATAGAGAGTCCTTTTTATATAATTAATATTTACATTAATAAAGTTTTATTCAAAAATTTCACAAAAACTTACTGTAAGATTTTAATATCTTTTGGATGATATTCTTAAAATTAGAATATAATTAATTTAATCTTTAAATAGAAAAAAGTTTATTAAAAGAGTTTTTAAATATATTTCTAAGATATTTCTACATCTTAATACTTAAATGAATCAATTTTATTTTATCTAAAGATTAATTTATGTAGATTTTGAACTTATATTAAAGACATTTTTATATAAATTCTTTAAATAATATATTCAAGTAGTTCTATTCATGATTTTAATGATAGTCTTGTTTCATTCTACATTCGACATTGATCAATTCTCAAATATAATTATTCTTTATTTTATCAAATTTAAAATTTTATAGAAAATTTAAAGATTAAATAAATGATATTGTTATAACAACAATGAGGACTATTAGATAACATAAATGGTTATTTATAATAATCTATCACCAAAATGAAATAAAAATACAGAATTATACAAAAATAAAAATCATAATTTCTATTGTAATTTGATCCTAATTTAAAGCATCTCAATATTTATATTACTTAAACATAATATAAATGATTTATTTAAATTAATACTGATTCAAAAGGTAGAAGGGAATTGAGAGATCATTATTTTAGATAATAAAATTGATAATTAAATGCTAATTTTCAAATAGGTTTTCTAAACTAAGATGAAAGAACTTCTTATTTCTGCTATTATTTGGTTACTTAAGATATCATTTATTAAATTAAAGAGTTTTTAGTACTCATTGAACATTTTAAAGTTGTTGTTCCACTACTAACTCGTTTTAATTTTTATGTTTTTGGTGAATTTTAACAAGAAGCAGCAATGCTATTTTTGAATAAAAATTCACTTGCTCCTCCTCTGTCAGTTAAACAGACATACTCCTATTAAGTATCAGGTAAATTTGTATTCAACTAGAGAGGTTTGCCTTCAGATTAATTTTTCTTATGTTTTTATTATTATTCTAATAAATATTTTATAATAAATTACATTTTTATAATTCTGGATGATCATTAATATTAATATTGATATTAATGACTTTATCCTAATTGGATGTATAACGAATATGTATATTAGGTTAAGAACATTTTCGATTCGTTTAAGATCCTGATTATTTACTTGTTTTGTTATTTGTTTATAATGATGGGGTTGGTGTCTATTTAATTTTATTGATTTTCAAATCATTTTATACTCCTCTAGAAATAGTGGGACTGTTTCTATTTGAGAAGAAATTTTGAGTTCCTGAATGAGGTCTATGTGTTTAGGATCCATTTTTCCATTTGATTTCTTATTCTGTAGGATCTTCCTCTATTTATATTTTAGATACTTATTTTAAATTTAATTTGCCTATAAATATAATAAAGATAAAATACCTATATTTGGTTGATTGGATGTTGAGACCTTATTATGATTATTTGTTGTAGGAGATGGTATATTGTTTTAATTGTATTTATTGAGTAATTAAGGAATAGATTACACATTTTTCTTAAGGTCTTTTAGAAATAGTTATGTAGAGATTTTTGGCTAATGTTAAATAATAGTTTTAGATTTTGGATTTGCAGATTACTTAATTTATTCATTTTAATCTACTCTTGTAAGACTTTAAGGATTATCATTACTCTATTTGTTTTTGAATATGGAATCAACTTGATTTCTAACAAAATTTACATTAATATCTTTTGATAATCTATTCATTTAAAGTAATAATTCAGTATTTTATTTTGAATGTTGAGAACCAAACCTTGATTTAGATTCTTCTTATTATTTTTAAATTAAAGTTTAAATTAATTATTCATGTGGTTAACTTAACTTCTTTTTAGGTTTTTAATGTTAAGAATCTCCTTTAATTTATGTTTTTTTAACTTATTGATTCATATATGTTAAAAACTTATTCAATTTCAATTCTTCTGTTTTACCTGCCTATATGAAAAGTGAAGATTGTTCAAAAGCTTAATTACCAAGATGTTTGCAAATTTCTTATAGTGTACATGATATATCAATTTTCTATTATTTATTTAATAATCTTGATTTATTTAACCAACTCAAGTCTTTCAAAATTTGAATATTTCTGATTCTCTTAGTTGCTGTAGGAGATTCCTCTTCTTTTTAGGTTTCTTGAGAATTAGCAGGAGAGGGTTGTTCACCTACAATACCTTTTGGAGGTCGATTGGGATTTTTCTTATTCTCTTCTTCAATCAAACGAGCAATCCTATAGTACTCATATTTGCGTTTCTTATCGTAATATTTATTAAGCAAGGTCGCAATTGGTTCCATAAATAATCTGGCAATATCTGTATGAAACTCTTTTATATGAATAATTTTACTTTATAGTATTCAGTTAACAACTGGACCTTCTGTGAATATTCATCAGTAAAATAATACCTTTTTAGGTATTCATCCTTAGAATGATACAAAAATTTACATCATCATCATATCCATACCAATCCTTGTATCTAATTACAGCTTTTGATGAAGCATCAGCAAGAATTTCATTTACGTCTCTAGTATAATAATAATTCTGTGATTAGCAATAACGAAGGAACAAATTTTTATTAGTCCATACAACTGTATTTTAAATCAGTTCAGATTATCGAATAATCTTCAAATTATCTTTGCTGATTAAATATTCCTTGTTTTGTTTCATCACTTTTTTATAAATTAATAATATTTAAAAAAAACTATCTATTTTATTAATTTATATAATCTTATCAATATCTATGAGAATCAACAACTCTAATTATATCCCTTTAATAAATATTAAAATTGTATATTATAAAAGAAATTTATTTATTTTTATCATAATCAAAATGAACTAAAATGAAGAAAACAATGATCAACAACAATAATAAGATAATTAAGTAATTGAAAACTAGAAGTAAGTAGAAAAGAAAGTAGTTGTTCAACCATTTGAATAAGAGAAGCAAAAAATCTAGTATAAATATTTAGGATAGCCTCCTTTTGAAATTAACCCAGAAGAAGAAGTAACTATTAAATTTATGAAAGGATATTAGTTGTATTGAAGGCAGAATACCTAATATATAAGCACTTGATAAATGTATCAATTTAAAACGATTGTGTTTAAGAACAAATTTAATTTCTAAATTAGAAGGACTATAAAATTGTGTATTACTTGAAGAATTAGATTTATATGATAATAGATTGATTAAGATAGAAAATATTGAATTATTAGTCAATTTAGAAATCCTTGATTTATCATTTAACAATATTAAAAAAATAGAAAATTTAGAAAACTAAAAGAAATTAAAGAAATTATTTTTATTAAGTAATAAAATTAAAAAGGTAATCATTATTGTTATTTATAGATATAAAATATAGATTTTCCTGAACTTACAATGTTAGAACTTGGATCTAATAAAATATCAGAAATAGAAAATCTAGATAGATTACCTAAACTTAGAGAATTATTTTTAGGCAAAAATAAAATATAAATAATAAAAAATCTAGAACCATTAGCTGATACATTAGAATTGT